AAAATATATCCCTTTCTGGTGTTTAATCATGCAGAATAGAAACTGCAAATGATAAATAAACCAAAAAAACAAGAATAGTTTGTTTCAATACCATATTTGCAGCCCAAAAACTAAATTAAAAAAAAAATCTGTTAATAATGATGCACCTCCAGTGATAGACAGAAAACTTTTAAAGAACTATTCTACAATCAAACTGTTTACTTTAGTGTTAGTATATCGTTCACTTTTCTTTTTTTTTTTACAACACGCTGAACTATAATGAAAGGACAATGTGTAAATCTCTAAACTGCTAATTTGCTACATTCTCTCTGAGCATTACAAATATAATCAAACACAACGACTGCATCTACTGATAATAATGCAACTGAAAACATAAACAGAATCACTATCAACTACTCAGCCATACAACTGTTAATATGTTTCTTAGAGAGTACCTGATGAACAAGAATTCAACCCAGAGTCGCAGGAAAGCAGGAAGTGGCCCCAGTGTCTCCAGCAGATACGTGTAGTGACCCCCTGACTTTGTAAAACTGGTGCCCAGTTCAGCGTAGCACAGGGCCCCTAAAACAACATATGACACGACAAAACTGTCTATAAACCATGATGTGGTGGATTGGCCCCGACTACTTGCTTTCACATGTATGTATGTGCACAAATATTTGACTAATTCATCGCAAGATATTCTACAAAACATACATAACCTTGTGCTTCTGTTTTCAATTTTTATTGTATCATTTTTAGTTGTTTTATTTTCTTTATTCAGTTTTCTATACTTAGAAGAAAAGTTTGATATTATGCTTTCAAAAATAACTAATTGCCTATTTTAATGATGATGTGAACAACTATTCAGGAAGTAAAAATAAACAAAATTATCTCTAAATAAAAATATATTTTTAATTGAAAAAATATATTTTTTACCCTGTTAATATGTCCATATGTTTTGTTTACATATATATATATGCCGAAAGAAACTCCATGAGAGAAATAAGCAGTCAACACCAATGTTTTTGCTGAAATTTACGAACTTGTATCCTTCAGTGTTGGTTCGTTATTACTCGTGACGTGTAACTAATCAGATAGAGAGACGCCAAAGTGACATATTTGTAAGTTAATTTATTCTATCAGAATATCTCGAATAATCTTAGATCTGCTAATCTGTTTAACCCCAATACGTAACACAACTAAATAACCAACCCTGTCAACTTGCAGGGCAGCTTTTCCATATCATTATTCTTCTTTAGAGTCAGGTTTCAGGTCTGGCATGTACGGCCAAATTCCAAGGGTTGATCAAAAGGTTACGAGACTGTGCCTGTAAAAATCATAAAGTGATTTCAATTCGGTCGCCATCCCTGCTGAAGCAGGCGCCTTGTACATGCTCCCAGCAGCATTTATAAGTACTGTTGTGTCAACATCAAGCACCATTTGAGCACTAAATCTCTCAAACTGTGCCAAAACAGCAACCCTTCGACCTGGGAAGAGTATGAAGCCAAATCTAGCGAGTGGCACGAGTGAGGTGCGGCGATTGTGTTGTTGTGGCCAAGAATCCCACAAGTAATCACCACAGTGTGACTGGGATCGCCTTACGTGCTCAGTAGAACTCAACGTTGACAGTTTGACTCTGATGGAATTAAGTCCCACTGTGCATGCATATAATGAGCATGCTCGGTTCTAAAGACTGCAGCTGCTCCACTGTAAAGACTATTGTTGCTTCTCCTAATGGTAGCTGCAGACCCACCTCTCACTACTGGTGGTGATTCTGCATGTGTCATATTTTCTCCTCTGTTCCACTTTGAGGTCCATGGAGAGATCCCAAAGCTCAGTTACACAAAAACACAAGCACATGGCATCCTAACTCATGACTATTGCTGCTATGT